CATGTTCTAGCTGAAGATTCATTCTCTTTTCTCACAGTTGGTGCCTCTTCTGACGGATTCGGGCGACAGGTAAGTCATTCTGATTTTCTTCCTTTACGTTCGTTTCTTTTTATTATTAGCAAAAAACTCCAGGAAAAAGGGCTGTCAGTTCCGCCGTTTCCTACTTCAGAAGTAATAAGAAGCGAACGTTTTGACTCTTTTGAGAGATCGCGACCCTCATGATGACTGAATCTGGCCTGCAAGAACCCTACCATACACACAGAGTGTTACACGGACTACAGGTTTTACTAAATTTAAAGCGTTCAGGTCAACGCGGGCCTCCAAAAAAAATTTGGGTGCCCGTTTCTTATTTTACGCGAGCAGGGGGTCGGGTCTACTACCGCCCCTCACAACTTTTCTTTTTTTTTGGACCCCCATTTTTAGAGGTGTGCCACATGCAGTGCGCGCGCATAGTGCGTGATGCGCGGTGCGGCGCATGTGCACGGTGCAGCGCATCGCGATGCGCCGCATGTATGATTCGCATGCACTCTGCACCACAGGTGCGTGCTGGGTGCGCACGTGATGCACCACAAGTATGTTTAATACCATCGCAAGGACATGACTACATCATTTACAATTGAGAAGAGTTTCGCCTAGTGTTAATACCATCGCAAGGACATGACTACATCATTTACAATTGAGAAGAGTTTCGCCTAGTGTGAAAGGCATCATCACATTGATGTAATTTCCTTGCATGATGTATATCTGACTTATCCAAACTTCTTCACACTTCTTTACGACACTCTTGGATGAAAGGGAATGAGAGAAAAACAAGCACGATTACAATTGAATCAAGGAACACGGTTGGTAACTAGGCTACCAGCCAGGGCGCCCGGGTCCCCTTGTTTTCCCAGGCAGCCCGGCCGTGCAAGGATCAGGGAACGTCCCAGGGAAAAAAAAAAAAAAAAAAAAACCGAAAAAAAAAAATGCATTACGCAGGAAAATAAACTGCACATCGTTTGCCTCAGGGTCACATCGAATTTTTTTACCAAATTTAAAATAAAAATAAAAGTAAAAAATACTGTTATTTTTTTTTGGCCAGCTGGGCAAGTGGTCCCAGGCCGCTCTGGTAACCTAGGTTGGTAACTTGATACTTGGTAGCAGGGCAGGTGGGGGCTCAGGTCAACATGGGGGTCACAGCTTGCTGGAAGGGGGTCACAGCTTGCTGGAAGAAGGGAGGCAGTCTCTCTTTCCAACTGCAGTCTTGCTCCATCCTTGGCGGCGGCGGTGGTGGAGGTGGGTACATCAAACAAACCAGTTGTTGGATCTTGATGGGTTTCAAAGGAAGACCAGAGGAAGTACACTTCTGTTGAGGAACAGACCTGCCCAATTGCTCAATATATTTGAATCGCTTCAGGTGAAGAGCTAGAATCCGAGGTGGAACTTTGATCTTCATCCTCTTTTGAGCTTCCTGAAACCAAACCAATCAGGAATGAAACGAAGTTCACTGTCAAAAGCTTTGAAGTTTGAAGTCTATTCTCAAAATCAGTGGAGAACTTGCGAATCAAGCAAAGTTTGTTGTTGAAAGCTTTCTCCCTCCCTAGCAACCCAACAAATTTGTTCAAGGCTTTCCCCCTCTCATTGAAACCATCTCTCCCTCTCATCCCCTGGCTTTCCCTCCACAAGCTCTTCATCATCGCCCAAGGACTGCCAAGATGGCTTATTCTCCCTCCTCAACATGCATGCACCCAGCCCATGTGGCTGAATGGTACACCCGTCAACTCTTGATAGAAAGACCTATGTTTGAATCGTTGATGCCCTGCCACCGCTCAACACAACCCCCAATCAGACTGGCAGCATCCTTCTCTCTCAGACCAACTATGGCTGGCCCTCGTCTGCCGGTTGAAGTCACAGTTTGAANCCCTGCCGCCGCTCAACACAACCCCCAATCAGACTGGCAGCATCCTTCTCTCTCAGACCAACTATGGCTGGCCCTCGTCTGCCGGTTGAAGTCACTCCTTCCTCCTGCTGTGCAGCGCACCACATGCTGCACTGCGGTCTCTTTGTCAAACTCCCTCCGACCAAGATGCCTTTGACTTAGACCGGCCTTCGTTTAAGTACTTTGGTCCCATCTTCTGTTCGGCCGGTAGGCACTGCCCTCAGGAGCATTAAGGCACCAGCATACCCGTCCCTCTTCTGTATGGGGCGGATTCCCACTGCGCGCCGAGCTTTGCCAAAATGCCAGCGTGGTGTTTTTGATTTCGTTTTGGCTGGCGCCGCCAGCCATTTTGGTCCAGTTGCCCCGAGCCTCAGATTTTTTTGGAGAGGCTCGATCATGATTCTCAAGTTGGCTGAGGCCATGTACTGGTGGTTTAAGACAGTATTGGCCTTGTGCTGCTGGGCCCCAGATAACCTGGACATGCCCAATCCCTGCACTAACCGTGTTTTTACCACTTTAGGCCTGGGCCCGGGGCCTATCTGTCCTCTGCTGTCGACTGACAGGACCTAGGGTCCTCGCACAAGGCTGTAAATGACAACAATTTCCTATAATAATTAAAAAAAGGCTGATTTCAAACATGCCAAATAGACTCAAATGACGATTCCAAATGTCATTATCATATCCACGACGACTCCGCACGTCATTATCATATTCCACAAAAGAATCCACAATGAATCACATGTTATTATAATATCCACATGATCATACAATGACATCCACATTTAACAGACGAGCACGAGGGAGGAGGAGGGGCCTCGTGAGGTTGGAGGTTGGTGCATCCAGAAAGGGGAAGAGAGAGGTGTGGAGATTGCCGGGAGGAAGGATGTAAACTCATGAGCTCGGACAGTGTTCAAAACTATACCTGGAGACTGCAGCATCTGTCACAAAAGAATTTGTCCTCCGCATTGAGAGTCTCCGTGGAGCTACATCACAACAAATGGCACCAACGAAGTCATCAATACCACATCCAATTCTTTCCATACATGTTGTGAATCATGGGATCGATATGGACTGGAATCTGGATGCATGTGGGAGTTCTGTTTTAGATTCTTACACACACATTTGCAATGACCCGCACAATTGAAGTCTGAGAATTTATTTTTTTTTTCTGAGAAAATGTTGTCCTTTCAATTTGATTCCTGATAATTCCAATTGTGAGTCTGTTATGCTGCGATTGGCTGTATTTTCTTCCTTTGTACGCGGTCCGCCACTAACGTATGCGTGTCACGTGCTTGCACAGGTCCAAGTCTGGGGGCTTAAGTGGTTGACCAAAGCGACGAGACCAAACAAAATCAATGTTGCAAACGCCTCTCCAGGCACGCAGCAAGACATGCTGGACACGAAGTGCTATTGTTTGCCATTGATCTTCAGGGTCAGTAGCGGAACGTTCTGTAAGTTCAAGAAGGCTGTTTGTGCAAACAGCTGGAGATATCAGAAGGCGTGCTAAATCTGTTGGATGTGGTGTGTGGCTGTGCCTCACTGCGCTAACTCTGTTAGACGTGTTGTGTGGCTGTCTCACACAGGGACAAAGTAGGAATAAGGGTACACCTGGTACAGCCAAGGACAGGGCCGGAAGTCGGTAGTAGGGAGATATTGGGGGTACTGTAGCGGCCAGCGATGTCAAGTAGCTTTAATGAGGGTAGGCAGAATTGAGGATTTCATCGGCACTCCCAGTTTGTGTAATGCACAACTCAAAATATTGGAAGTTTGCTAGTTCTACCCACAATGAAATTGACTCGATTGCTCTCACTACTGGTAGGATTTTGGCAAGGTACTTTTGTCAATAGCAGATTGTAGTGCAGTGGAGTGGAACGAATCCCTCATTCAAGGATGTGTGTCGCAGATACGGAATCATATCGCTCTTCTCATTCACAAGAATAGCTGAGACCCTTGGTTTAGTTTCAGCCCTGTCCATGTCCTTTCGTTGTGCCACCTGCACACGGCCAAGGTGCGCGTTATTTTGACTGTGCTTTTTCTTTCCCCCTTCTGTGCCGCGGCTCCACCCCAGCCGGCACCAAGCCTGTGTGACATGGCCCGCCTTCGTCGTTTCATCTCATCCCCACATCTGGGCCACAGCGGGTCCGACCTGTTAGTAAGGTGTTGGAGGTGATAATGGTGGTGAGATAGCGAAGGGGGTGACTTTGGTTCCAACTTGTGTTTTTCTTTTTCTTCTTCTTCTTTCCTTCATTCATCTTCTTTCCTGCACTCATTCTTCTTCTATTTGAAGTTGTGATGAAGTCATTGTCTTAACCTTGAGTTTTGTATTATGAAATGGGGAGGATCATAGCACACTACAAGAAATCTGATTCATTACTCGAGCTCATGATTCATACAAGTTTGTTTTAAACACACACACACACACACACAACAAAGTTCTGTGGCTGAATGGCACACATATAACTGCTAGCAAACAAACCATGAGTTTGAACCCTGATCAGATGAATATACTAATGTTAGGAGCTGTGGTCCTTCAACACAAAGTGAAAAGGAAAGAAAACCAGCCATGCAGCTGAAGGAGAAAAGACTCAAAACAACCCTCCCAGATACGCATTCGTACCATGAAACCAAAGAATATTCACATCAACTACACAAAGAGTTGCCACATGTTCTGCCGCGTGACTAGGTGCCGCCAGTAAGCATCCTGCCCAGCAGAAGCACTCCTGAAGGAAGCACAGGGTTCGGAGGGTGGGACAACTCATAGCAGCCCCCCCCCCTTGGACAGGCACTGACTGGGTGCTGCCAATAAGCTTCCCGGCGAGCAGAAGCACCCGTTCTCGCGACGGAGGCTGGCAGTGACCATCCCTTCATAGTGTTCAGAGAAGAGACTATGCATTGTGCATGCTAACCGAATTATGGCTGTGTGGCCACAGAATGGAAGGGCACAGCCAAAAACTCCTAAGGAGGTTCTTTCACTGTCTGGAGCAGAATCTTCCCGATCTACAAAGGGAGGGGACACTGCTCGGTCATGTGCAAGGGAAGAAGGTAATTGAGCATCCAGATTGCTCTCCAGAGACCGAAGCGCTTGCGGGTGAGAAGTAACATATTGTTCCTGAAAGACAATCCAAATTGAATGAGTATTTGCTACTTGGTTATAGAAAGAGTTAATGCTACTTATCGTGTGCACCCTACCTCCATCAGAGGTTGCCAACGGGTGGCCGTGACCGGACGCAGGCGACTAGTGCCGCAAGGGCAAGGCTGACTCTTTTTCTCACTCTATCACCTGTACTCTCATGCTTGCCAGTAATAAGCAACCGGGCTGACACCCCCCAGAATAGAAGGGGCCTTGTTTTGATTTGGCAAAAAAAAAAAAAAAAGTTAACGCATACGCCTTTTTGGCACCCGTGATTCTTCACGGGAAAGCAGACACTTGGCTCTCAGAAAAGCGGACAGTTGGCAAGGAAGATGATCCAATGACAATGGAAAGCTCCCGTGAACTGGCGGGCAGTTAAAATCTCACATAAGTGAGCGGGCTATACTACCGATGGTGGTCATGTGCTACTTGAAGCGAAGTGTGCGGTGCTTGTCAGTGTCCATGTGGTGTTGTGTGTGGTGTGTGTTGAGAGTGGACACTGCAGCCTTGCAGGGTTGGGACGGATATCACGGCCGGTATGGTTCCACTTTTGAACACCGTGTCCTGGCTGTAGTGCTTGCGATACTTGGCTCTTGAGGCCACGGTCGCCGGTTCGAGTTCGTGCTTGAATGGAGGGCTAATCCAATGACAAGGAAGATAGCAACACTATCAATTAAACAAATTGAAAACGCAGTTCAACACACAGAGCAAACAAATAGAGAACAACGAGATCAAGCAAATAGAGAACAAAAAGATCAAACGAATAGAGAACATTGTCTGTATTCCGTTTGTTTGAGCTTTTGCAACCTGTTGTGACTGCGGACAGCCGGCAAGAAAGATTGCAAAACCAATATGATGAGCTTCTGTTCACAGAACTCTCTGCCACTGTCATTGATTGGCATTCATTGGTGAGCTCAATGAAATCGCATCCACAAAACTCACATTATTTTCCCCAACTGGTGATCTAAACCATACAGATCTGAGGGTTTTCATGGGTCAGAGACTCAGAGGAGATTTGAGATAGTTTTTGCTGGCCACAAACAAGGTCAGAGGAGGATTCAAAATAAAGAAAACAGACCTGAAGTTCCGTAGGCAGCTGGTGATAGAACTGTTTTGTTCAATGTCAAGACTTAGATCAAGGAAAGTTTCATCCCTTGCGGTTACTGTCTCGCAGCACAAGCATTTCGTCTCATTCGTCAAAGTTCCCTGCATCACTCAACAGCCAATTAACCCCACAGCAGCTTTTGTCATGGAGTGACCACCAATACCTGTTAAGTATGTGAAACACACTTGTAGAATAGCACCACCAATTTGCAGTTCCACACAGTGTTGCATACCCCGACGGTCGGCGGACCTTGACTGGTCAGATGCCGACCAGCCGACCAGCTGGCTGGTCGGCACCTACCGGTCGGGGGTCGTTGGCACCCCGCAAAAAAAAAGGAAAAAAAAAAAGGTCCAGAACCCCTAATAACCCCACCAAACCCCCATATCCGCCCCCAATTCCATCATATACCCCCCCTATACTCCCCCCCCAACCCCCCATACCCCCCCCCATCCCCAAAAGTTTCTCAGCGGATTTGGGCTGTACTCAGCACGTGCAGTACGGCCCCCAACTCAGATTTGAAAAAAAATCAGTGGATGGCTGTTTTCTGACTGGTCCGCAGACCCCCAACCGGTCGGCCCTACTCGTCGGCTGCAATACGGTCGGCGGTGGGGTGGTCGGGGGTCGGCAGGTATGCAACCCTGGTTCCAAACAATTTTACGCTCATCATCCAGTTATACACTCGCCAAACGTAGTCACCACCAACATGCTGGTGAACACAAGTTTATGGCTATTTTTGCCAAACCAACAGTTGCAATTGCACCATAACACAAACTATGGATCCTTAATATTCCTTATGCAAGGGGCAACACAACCTGAGTATATGTTCGCTGGGTGGGATGGAAAACCAAAACACTTGCATGACAGCAGATCTGTTCAGAGTTTGCCGAAGTCGAAAAGGAAAGTTGTTTAGATAGCTCCCACTGGTGTTTAAGTGTCTAACAAGCCGGCTACATTATCTATGCTGTTCACTGGCTTAGCTTGTCACTTTTACTATGGAAACTAGTTTTCCCTGATTGCAAAAAAGGAACACCACACACAATCGAATCGTAACACAGCACACGAAACAGCTGTTCAAAGAAGAGTGCATCAAAATTCACCATCACTCATTAACCATCTCTACTTACTGGGCTACCTGACAATTCCCCAATCCCTTTGGTGCCTTGCTTACGTAAGAACAGTCATGGGAGGTAGGCTTCAATTCATGGCATTAGTCAAGAGGTCAGTCTGCAGGTTCATTGGCACCGGTGTCGAAATGCGCATTGTGGTCTGAGGTTGTCGGTTCGAAGCTTCGAACCCTCGACTCTGCACACTAGTCCGGGGGCGTCGACGAATGCAGGCCAGGGACATCTTAGGACAAGCAAGTGGTCTTCTGCTCAGTGGTGGAGCACCTGTGCCACGTCGTGTGCACAGGGGGTATGCAATGACTTGCTGTTTTCTGGTCGCCTGTAGCCTCTCTCTGTCGAGGCTGTACTATAGGTAGGACAGATTCGCAATTTTGTTTGGCTGAGGGCTAACCGAGAGACCTACCTGTGAAGGAAATTCGTGAGGGACATATCTGCAAATTCGGGAAAATATAGGCCCGGTACTAACCGGATTCCCTACAGCTACCCTAACTGCGGATAGCAGGCCCGGGCTACCCCTAGGACAGACAGGCCCTAAGGGCCTATTCTGAATAGACGGTACTATAGCATATAGCCGGGTTCGGTAGAGGCCGAGAGGCCGAAACAGAAACGGTACCGGTCAGTCAGTCAGTCCGGTCTAGGTCGAGTCTAGGCTAGTTGTAGTCTATAGATAGATTGGGCACATCGGTTCAGGGCTTTTGGCAGTTGGTACCGAGTACATCGCTGCTGCGCTACGGGTGAACCGGAAGTGGTGACAGCTCAGCGTGGAAGGAGACAGGCATAGCCAGACCTTCGGAGCGCCGGCCATAGCTGGGACCTGCGGTATACTCTGACAGCACGCAGGGGCTGACAGAGGTCTGGGTTAAGGAGGTCTGCTGGAGGCGAGAGAGATTGGTGCTCTGCTGGACCCTCCTCCGGAGTGGGGTCCCAGGAAGTTTGCGCTGCAGCCATAGCTGCAGCTTCTTCTTCTCAGAGGTCATCTTGTCAGGGTTTGGTGGCGCTGCTGCAGACTTCCACCCGGGAAGTCTTCCGACACTTCGTCATCAGCAGATACTGTGGCGCTGGTCTTCTTCTTCATCCCCTGAGTGGCGCTTGGCCTCAGGGGCCTGTTTCAGGGTGGGGCTTCCCTCAGGAGGCTGTATCTGGGTGGCGCTTGATGTTTCTGGGTCTCAGGGGTGTTACGGTTGTTAATCAGGGTTGGGGAGGGAAGCACTGCTCATTTCTGAGCAGCGCACTGTAGTACTGAAGTTATCCTGACAATTCGAGACTCTGAGTTTAATAAACAGTGTATAACTGGGATTGGACTATCATCGATTCATTGTTTCCTGGATGTGATCTACTCGGCTTTTCTCTATGACTGGTTGTGAGGAATGAGTGGAGTGAATTGCACTTTCAGTGTACCCTGTCATATCGCATGGTCAAGTCTTCGCTGTGTTCTCTCTCCCTGTGCGGTGTGATACTCCTATCCTCTCCCCTTCCTTCTGTGTATCTCCCCTTCCTTCTGTGTATGTATGGGCATACCTGGAAGTCTATGTGAGTGAGTGTTGGCCTACAGGCAACAAACAACCAGAATCATAACAGGGTATATACTTGAACTCGAATTGTGGGATCCAGCCGTCAAAAGCTGGCACATCGATGCCGTCCCCCAGGCACACTTCAGAGCTGGAGGGCGTCGGCCAACAAGGCCACCTGTACGCTCCCCTTGGGTTGTGTGGGTTCATGGGGAGATGGTGGGGGGGGACGGGTGGGCTCAGTTGGGGAGAGTCGCGGGGGGGATGCCAGGCGTGCCACTCTCCTAGCAGGTCTACTGCAGTCCCCTTCGGTGACAGGTGACAGGGTGCCAGGTCCGGCCTCCCAGCAGGTCGTCTTCAGGGGACCCCCGAGCCTGAGTTCGAGAGTGCCGCACCTCGTTGCTGGCGATCAGGAAGCGCCAATCTCAGACGATACCCCCACATGTGTGGTCAAGGTTGTGTGCTCTGGCTTGAGAGTTTGTGTGTGAGTGGGTTCACTGCGCCATCAGGTAGGCCGAACTTGTTCCGTCCACCCTCCTGATGGACATCCTCTCTCAGCACTGTCCCTGACACTCCTCAAAACCTTTTGTAAAAGATGGATTGGGTGTCCTTCCAGACGACATCCCTACACTATAGAATCGCTAGCGTGAGAAATCTAAGATCCGGGTTGATTGTATGGGTGGTGGTGCATGGCCGTTCTTAGTTGGTGGAGTGATTTTCAAAAAAATGATCCAGGTCGTACGCGGTCCTACCAGACGGAAGGCCCAGATAGTTGCCCGATCTTAGGATTTTAAGATCGCATGACGATCTGCGCCGTCCACCCAGTACCATTGGGCCAACGGCCCAGATCAAAGAAAAATTGACGTACTGCACAGGCGGCCTACCAGTGCCCATTCGAAAAAGGGCCAGGCCGTGTCCCTCCACCGGGGACCGGAGGCCTCCCAGGGGGCGATGCCATCAAGCTTCCTTCAAGCTTCCTTGGCGCAGTTGCGGCCTACTTGCTTCCCTCAAGCTTCCTTGGCGCAGTGGCAGCCTACTTGCTTCCCTCAAGCTTCCTTGGCGCCAGGCCGCCACTGCGCCATCACCCACTGGAATCCAGTCCCCGCTGCCATTGTGCCCGTCTGCTTTGCTGTGTGCCAGCCTTCGATGATGACCCCTACCACTTCAACGACAACGACGACAACACCTACCATTTTGACAAGGACAGCAATTATGACAACCACAACTACCTTTACTACTGCTACTTCTACTCTCTACTATGCCCCCCCTCCCGCCCTTCGATGAGGACGACTCTTACGTGTGTGTGAGAGAGAGAGGGAGACTACCACACTCCCCTCCCCATCTAACTAACCACCCCCCACCTAGGTATCTCTGTTGACGTGGCACTACTAGCAATGGGCCACCCCCGACTACCTACTCACAGAGAGAGAGACAGGGCTGTGCGCTCGTGCGCCGGAATTTTTGTGCACGCAGAAGAAGGAAAGAGTGTGCCAGTTCTCAATTCATTTGCCATTGTTATGCAGCGGACTTGCATGATCGCCCGGCTGATCAATCAATACATCAGGGGACGGGGGTGGGAGAGAGAGAGAGAGAGCATTGTGTGTCATCAATGTGCAGGGGCTTTCCACGATCGATCCATGAGCAGGGGAGAAGAGAGGTCCCTGCATGCATGCGCTGGAATTTTTGCGCACGCAAAAGAAAGAAAGATCATGTCATTTCTTGATTTGTGTGTAGGGGCTTTGCTCGATCGACCGGTTGATAGATCGATCCACCAGGGTTAACAGAGAGAGAGAGAGGGAGAGAGAGAAGGGCGCGCGCGCATGCGCTGGAATCCGCTCGCAAAAGAAAGAAAGAGTGTGCCATTCCTCGATTTGTCTGTGTAGTTGTTGTGCAGGGGCTTTGCACGATCAACCAGGTGATTGATCGATCCATGTGGGGAGGAGGGGGGGAGGAGGGGGGGAGGAGGG